TTCTTTTTGCTTATGTGGTGCTGTGGAATTGAACCCAGGGCCTCAGGCATGCAAGGCAAGCGCTCTACCACTGAGCCAACTTCCCAGCCCTAAGTGGGCTTTTGAAAACAGGGCTTCTGCCAGGTGCTGGTGGCTCACGCCTATAATCCTAGCTATACTCAGGAGGCTGAGATCTGAGGATCGCGGTTTAAAGCCAGCCTGGGCAGGAGAGACCTTGAGACTCCTATCTCCAATAAACCACCAGAAAACTGGAAGTGGTGCTGTAGCTCAAGTGGTAGAGCGCTCGCCTTGAGCTGAAGAGTTGAGGGACAGTGCCCAGGCCCAGAGTTCAAGCCCCACGACCGACAAAAAAAAAGAAAACATGGCTTCTCCTTTAGCATGTATAATTATGATGTTTAACAGACATCCTTGCAGTTTAAGATGACACATTTTTGTTGTTGTTTTTTGGTTTTGGGGGGTTTTTTTTGGGTCCCGTCATGGGGCCTGAACTCTGGGCTTGGGTGCTGTCCCTCAGCTCATCAGCTCAAGGCTAGCACTCTACCACTTGGGCCACAGTGCCACTTCTGGCTTTTTTCTTATTGCTTATGTGGTGCTGAGGAATTGAATCCAGGGCCTCATGCATGCAAGGCAAGCACACTACCACTGAGCCACCTTCCCAGCTCCAAGATGACACTTTTAAGATACAATTATCTCCTAACAATGACTTGAGCCCTGCCAAGTCAGCAGACCTTGTACAATTTTATTTGGAATTGACATTCTTTATTGTAATTTTGTACATTTATTTAATTTTTTAAATTTTATTTACATGGTAGTGAGGAATTGAACCCAGGGCCTCATGCATGCTAGGTAAGCACTTTACCACTAAGTCACATTCCCAGCCCTCTTCCTTCCTTCCTTCTTTCCTTTCTCTCTCTTTCTCTCTCTCTCTTTCTTTCTGTTGGTTGTGGGGCCTGAACTCTGGGCCTGGGCGCTGTCCCTCAGCTCTTTAGCTCAAGGCTAGCAATCTATCACTTGAACCATAGTACCACTTCCAGCTTTTTCTGCTTATGTGTGCTGAGGAATCAAATCCAGGGCTTTATTCATGCAAGGCAAGTACTCTACCACTGAGCCACCTTCCCAGCCCAGCCCTCTTTATTTTTAAATTTTCTTTTGTTTTCACTGGCAAGGAAAGATGATATTCAGTTTTAAACATGTAAAGTATACAAATTGCTTGGTTGCAATAAAACTAAATACATACACAAAGGGTTTGATGCTTTTCTCTCAGAATGGATATACCTTCCAGGTTTGATCTGACCTTCCAGGTTTGACATCGCTGTCAAACTGTTCCCCTAAATTAGTTTTTCGTTTTTTGTTTTTGGTCAGTTGTGGGGCTTGAGCTCTGGGCCTGGCTGCTGTCCCTGAACTCTTCAGCTCAAGGCTTGAGCTTTACCACTTTAAGCCACAGAGCCACTTCCAGTTTTCTGATGGTTAATTGGAGGTAAGAGTCTCACTGGGACTTTTCTGCTTGGGCTGGCTTTGAACCATGATCCTCAGATCTCAGCCTCCTCAGTAGCTAGGATTACAGGGACGCGCACCAGCACTTGGCTTTACTTAGTATTTTTTGATACGTGCTTTGTGGATCCAATATAAATGGATTTGAATCAATATCTTAATGTCTCCATAGCTGGGAAACATTGCTGCCATTAGTTCATCATGTTGTTTGGGCTATTAGAACCTCAAAATTGAGAATTCAGAGTTGTACCCTTCATTTTTATCTCATTGGCATTAAAAAAAATAAAACAGTCTTTTTGTGTGTCGGTAGGATATCACCAGCTTCCACCAGCATACAGACCTGTTGCTCTAAGATCAAGTTGCACAATGCACCTTGCCATGGCTGCTGTGTCATGCACAATTAAGTGCAGCCAAGAAGATGGATTCAGAGTAAGAAGTCTGTGTTGGTAGTTAGGGGGACTTTTTGTCTCTTAAGTTCCAAGTGTCTAACCTAAAGCTTTCAAGTGTGATGGTAGATCTGTGTGGGACAAAGAACTCTGCCCAATGCCATCACACAGAGAAGCTGCCGAATGTTGTAAAGTACAGCTGAAATTATTGAATGCCACTTTTTCAGAGGTGAATTAATGGACAGCCTGGTCAGATTGGAAACTTTCTGATGTGTAAAACCTTATAAATGGTTCTATTCAATCAATAGACAAAAGTGTAACCAAAAGCTGTCTAGATGGATTAGTATGTAATTTCTTCACAGGTCTCTGGTTAGTAAATACATTACTGTATACCAGTCAGGAATCTTATTCCAATAAAAGAACATAAAGATTTTATTTTGTAGGTTATAGGGCTTGAACTTAGGGCTTGGGCAATGTTCCTGAGCTCTTTTGCTCAAGACTAGCACTCTACCACTTTGAGTCACAGTGCCACGTTCAGTCTTTGTGTGGTTAATTGGAGACAAGACTCCCAGACTTTCGGGCTGGGAAGGTGGCTCAGTGGTAGAGTGCTTGGCTTGCATGCATGAGATCCTGGGTTCGATTTCTCAGCATCACATAAACAGAAAAAGCTGGAAGTGGCACTGTGGCTAAAGTGGTAGAGCACTAGCTTTGAGCTGAAGAGCTGAGAGACAGTGCCAGGCCCAGAGTTCAGGCCCCACAACCAGCAAAGAAAAAAAAAAGTCTCCCAGAATTTCCTGCCCAGGCTGGCTTTGAACTGTGATCCTCAAATCTTAGCCTCCTGAGTAGCTAGGATTACAGGCGTGAGCTACTGGTGCCCAGTCTGTGAAACTCTTATCTCCAATTAATCGCCAGAAAACTAGAAGTGGTGCCTAGGCCTTACAACTGCCAAAAAAAAGAAAGAAAGGAAAGGAACACAATTATATGGTTGGAAATTGTAGTAGGGTGCTTCTCTGAATGACTATAACTCTCTCTCTCTCTCTCTCTGAATAAAGTGAGTGAATGCTTAGGAGAAATCTACTAAGCAGATCAATCTTTTCTTCCTAAGAAATTCAATTAGGGGGCCAGTGGCTCCTTCTTGTAATCCTAGTTATTCAGGATGCTGAGATCCAGAGGATCACTGTTTCAAGCCAGTTAGGGCAGAAAAGTCCAGGAAATTCCATTTCCATTTAATTAGCAAACACCTGGAAATAGACTGGAAATGTGGCTTAGAGGTAGAGTGATTCCCTAGCATGTATGAAGCCCTGGGTTCAATTCATCAGTACCACATGAACAGAAAAATCTGGAAGTGGCACTGTGATTCAAGTGGTAGAGGGCTAGCCATGAAAGAAGCTCATGGATAGTGTCAGGCCCTAAGTTCAAGCCCCAGGACTGTAAACAAACAAACAAAAAAACCCAAAACCTGGAATAACTGGGTACTAGTGGCTCATGCCTGTAATCCTAGCTACTCGGGAAACAGATCTGAGGATCTCAGTTTGAAGCCAGCTGGGGTATGAGACTCCTCTCGAATTAACCATTCAAACACTGGAAATGGCACTGTGGCTCAAAGTTGTAGAGCACTAGCTTTGAGCAAAAGAGCTCAGGGACAGTGCCCAGGCCCTGAGTTCAAGCCCCATGACCAACAAAGAAAACAAACAAACCTGGAAATAGAGATGTGGCTCAAGTGGCAGAGCACCAGCCATAAGCAAGGAAGCAGAGGGAAGTTACAAAGCATGGCTCTGAGTTTAAGCCCTAGTACCAGCACAAAAAAAGGAAGGAAGGAAGGAAGGAAAGAAGGAAGGAAGGAAGGAAATGAATTAATTCGGTTAGAAAAATGGCTTAGTAGGGCTAGGAATGTGGCTTAGTGGTAGAATGCTTGCCTAGCATGCATGAAACCTGAGGTTCAATTCCTCAGTACCACATAAACAGAAAAAGCTGTAAGTGGTGCTGTGGCTCAAGTGGTAGAGTGTTAGCCTTGATCAAAATGAAACTCAGGGCCCGGTGCCGGTGGCTCACGCCTGTAATCCTAGCTACTCAGGAGGCTGAGATCTGAGGATCGCGGTTCAAAGCCAGCCCGGGCAGGAGAGACCTTGAGACTCCTATCTCCAATAAACCACTAGAAAACCGGAAGTGGCGCTGTAGCTCAAGTGGTAGAGTGCTAGCCTTGAGCTGAAGAGCTGAGAGACAGCACCCAGGCCCAGAGTTCAAGCCCCACAACCACCAAAAAAAAAGAAAAGAAACTCAGGGACAGTGTCCATGCTCTGAGTTCAAGCCTCAGGACTGGAAAAAAAAAAAAAAAGCCAGGCGCCAGCAGCTCATGCCTATAATCCTAGCTATGCAGGAGGCTGAGATCTGAGGATCATGGTTCAAGGCCAGGCAGGAAAGTCCATGGACTTATTTTTTTTTTTGGGGGGGCCGGTCATGCGGCCTGAACTCTGGGCCTGGCCTGGGCGCTGTCCTTCAGCTCTTCAGCTCAAGGCTAGCGTGCTACCACTTGAGCCATAGCGCCACTTCCGGCTTTTTTCTTTTTGCTTATGTGGTGATGAGGAATTGAACCCAGGGCCTCAGGCATGCAAGGCAAGCGCTCTACCACTGACCTTCCCAGCCCCTCCATGGACTCTTATCCCCAATTAACCACCAGAAAACTGGAAGTGGCGCTGTGGCTCAGGTGGTAGAGTGCTAGCTTTGAGCTGAAGAGCTGAGGGACAACACCCAGGCCCAGAGTTCAAGCCCCACAAAAGATTAAAAAAAAAAAAAAGGCTTAGGAGACACAGTATGGTTTTTTGTTTTGTTTTGTTTTGCTTTTGCCAGTCCTGGGGCTTGAACTCAGGACTTGGGTACTGTCCCTGAGCTTCTTTTGTTCAAAGCTAGCCCTCCACCACTTGAGCCACAGTGCCATTTCTGGCTTGTTCTGTTTAGGTGGTACTGATGAATCGAACCCATGGTTTCATTCATACTAGGCAAGCTCTCTATCACTAAGCCATATTCCCAGTCTTTAGTATGGTTTAAATATAGGAATATAGGAAGATATACTATCATCATACATAGATCCTAGCAAGCCTTCCCAAGAGGCCACATGTGGCAGTAAAGTAGTAGAGAGAAAATTGGTGGTATAGACAAAAAAGGAAGGCACAATTCCCAGAAACTTCAAGGACAGCTCAGGCCTTTTTAGTCATCTATTCATCAGAGTGTAGTGTTAATATTAATTCTATTTCTTGGCTCTGTATTTCTCCTCCGGTGCCAAATGTGCTTTCTTTCCAAAGGGTAATACTTCTGTAATCAATGCAAACTCTTTGAAGCTAGGAACTAGCCTCTAGGATAAATCCTGGACCCCACTCATAAGACATCCTACTTACTGCCCACCACCTTGTTCTTTAGCTGTTCACTTTTTTGTGTGTGTTGGTCCTGGGGCTTGAGGCTGAGCATTGTCCCTATGCTTCTGTGCTCAAAGCTAGCACTCTGTCACTTGTATCACGGCTTTTTTTTTTTGTCCTGGAACTTGAACTCAGGGCCTGGGCACTTTTTGCTCAAGATTAGAGCTCTACCACTTTGAGCCACAGCACCAGTTCTGGTTTTCTGGTGGTTAATTGGAGATAAGAATCTTGCTGGCTTTGAACCAGTGATCCTCTGATTAGTCTTTTTATTTTTTTGTTGCCAGTACTAGGGCTTGAACTCAGCCTGGGAACTTTCCCTGAGTTTCTTTGCTTAAGGCTAGCATTCTACCACTTGAGCCACAAGGCTACTTTCAGCTTTTTCTGTTAATGTAGTACCAGGACTTTATGCATATGAGGCAAGCACTCTAACCCTAAACCACATTCCCAGCCAAGGGTCTGGTTTTTGCCAGTTTGTACAAGATTTCACAGTAAGCCGGGTGCAGGTGGCTCATGTTTGTAATCCTAGCTACTCAGTGGGAGGCTGAGATTTGAGGATCATGGCTCAAAGCCAACCCAGGCAGGAAAGTTTGTGAGACTCTGTTCTCTAACCATGAGAAAACCAGAAATGGTGTTGTGGCTTAAGTGGTAGAGCACTCACGTTGTACTGAAGAGCTGAGAGACAGTGCCCAGGTCCGGAGTTCAAGCCCCACAACCGACAAAAGAAAAGAAAAAAAGATTCCACAGTGACGAGTGAAAGGTAAGGACTCTTCATCTGCAGATTCCTGTCTGGGATGCCTAGAACATGTCCAGTGAATACCTTACACTTTGTAAGTGGGCTGAACTTAACGGTAAGCCAGTGTATCTACCACTCTGATATATCTCCAGGGCTTCTGGCCACTCTGTACTGTGAAATTGCAAAGTTGCCTCTTCCATAACCACCCTGAACATCTTCTAGATGCGATTTTTTTTGGGGGGGAAAGGAGGAGCTTGAACTCAGGGCCTTGGGCGCTGTTCCTGAGATTTGATGCTCAAAGCTAGAGCTCTATCACTTGAGATATGGCTCCCCTTACGGCTTTTTTCATGGTTAATTGGAGATAAGAATCTCACGGACTTTCTTGCCTGGACTAGCTTTGAATGGCGATCCTCAGGTCTCCTGAGTAGCTAGGATTACAGACATGAGCCACCGGCGTCCAGATTCGATTGTCTTCTTGAAAGGACCCCAAATCTATCCTCAGTGCTCAACTCAAAGAGCACCTGAGTTCAGTCAGGCCTTTAAATGTTAAATAAAACCCAGAATCTTGCAAATGCCATCAAATCTATATCACTCCCATCCCCACCCCGCCCCCTTTAGGGAAACCGCAGGCCAAGAGTTTATTAATCTAAGCAAGCTTACTCTGGAGGCTTCAAAGCCTAGCACTGCCGCCAACCTGAGCCTAAAACCTCACGGCCCGCTGGCGGCCATAACCACCTGAGACCCAGAGGTGCAGGCCATCAGGCACTGAGGAAGACGCCCCCGGAGCGGGCTGCGCAGGCGCAGCTGCCCGTGAGGGCCCCGTCCCTCCAGGCTGCGCAGGCGCAGGAGCAGCTCCGGCAGAGTCCCGACGGCGGCGGCGGCGGTGACTGAGGGGCTGGGGCGTGGAGCAGCGGCGGCGGCGGCGGCGGCGGGCGGTACCGGAGCAGCCATGAGGGCCGGGCCCAGTCACCGACAGTGAGTGGTAGTAGGAGGGGAACGGACACACCGAAGGGTCTGGCGGAAGGATATCTTCGGCTGGTCGGGTGGACTCTGCCGGTGGGGACGGAGGTCGTTGGGGGAGGGACAGTTTGAGGTGATGGGAGAATTTGGGGCATGGGCAAAGGGGTCGTCGGTCCCAGGACTGGACGGCTCGTCGGAGGGAAGGGGTGGTATGCTATGGAGTGAAGAAAGAGCCCTCGGCCAGGCCAGCTGTCCTGTGCTGCCCCGTTTGTCAGCATCCCTTCCCCCAGGAGCTTTTGGTCGCCTCTCCCTTTCCGCTTCTTTCAGAGAATGGTCGCGGGGGGGAGGGAGTGGAGGGGGGTGGAGGATGAAAGCCCTGCTGGAGCTGAAGAAGCCAACCCTGAACCAGGCTGGGGTGGGCCAGTCATGGGCCCAGCTGAGGGAGAGGATGTGAGTCGGGAGCTCTCTGTTTAAAGCAGGGAAAGAACTCGAGGCTTGGATTGGGACAGGTTTGAAGCCAGGTCCATCACCGAGGAAGCTGAGAGATAACCTTGGACAGGGCCCACTTAACCTTTCTGATCCTCTGGAAGATGTCGAGCTTCAGACCCGCTATTGCAAGCATCATGTATGTGATTGAAGGTGTTTATGAAAATTGTAAATTGTAAGTATTTAATGCAAATACTAACAGTTCACCAGTACTAAAGGTTTTTATATCTTACCATTATTAACGGGATGACTGAGTTTTCTGTCAAGGTGAAACGTAGTGTTTGTAACACCTCAATAGACCAGTATATGCTTTCTATATAGAAACATATGATGATATGCAGAAATACTACCTTCTGTCTGTGATGTGATAAATTAGCTGTCAGACATTTGTAGGAAATCGGTAGGAAAATACCATACTTTGGTATTTTTACAAATGATGTGTAGCTCCTCACCAAAGAGGAAGGAAATAGAAAGTGAAGAGCCAATCCATTCCATGCTTCTGAACATAGCTCATTCGGGTTCCCTTGTAACAGTTTACAATCATGGGCTTTATTATGAGCTGAGAAAATTGTGAATTGAGAAAAACAGTTTGAGACAAGTTAGGAAGGCTGCCCAGTGGGGGCATATACAACTTTTTATTTGGGGAGGGAGCAGTGCTGGGTATTGAACCCAGTACTTTGCATATGTTAGGCAAGCATATTGTTACTGAGCTATATCCTCCGCGTATTATTTATTTATTTATTATTCATTTTTGTGCCAGTACTGGGGCTTGAACTTGGGTCCTGTCCCTGAGTTTTTTTTGTCAAACCTAATGTTTCACCACTTGGGCCACAGCTCCACTTCTGGATTTTGTGGTTAGAGATGAGTCAAACTTTAAACTTTTCCTATCCAGACTGGCTTTGAACCTCATCCTCAGATCTCAGCCTGAGTAGCTATTACATGTGTGAGCCACCTGTGCCCAGCTCTCCCCCCCCCCCCCCCCCCCCCCCCCCCCGACCCATGGGGCTTGAATTCTGGGCCTGGGTGCTTGTCCCTGTGCTCTTCAGCTCAAGGCTAACACTGTACCACTTGAGCCACACCACCACTTCTAGTTTTTCTAGTAGTTAATTGCAGATAAGAGTCTCACAGACTTTTCTGTCTAGGCTGGCTTTGAACTGGGATCCTCAGATCTCAGCCTCCTGAGTTAGGATTAGAGGAGTGAGCCAGTGGCTCCTGGCTCCAGCTTATTTTTTTTTGAAGCTGAGTCTGATCATATAGTCCAGTCTAGCTTTGAACATCCTATCTTAGTCTCTGGATTGCTAAGTTTACAGGTGTAGGTCACTGTCCCAGTTTACTAAATTTTTTTTTTTGGGGGGGGGGTCATGGGGCTTGAACTCTGGGCCTGGGTGCTGTCCTCAGCTCTTCAGCTTAAAGTGAGCGTTCTACCACTTGAGCTATAGCGCCATTTCCTAAGTTTGTTTGTTTTTTTTTTTTTCCCAGAGCTGAGGACCGAACTCAGGGCCTTGTGCTTGCCAGGCAGGTGCTCTTATGCTGAGCTAAACCCCCAGCCCCCCAAGTTATTTTCGAAGTGCAAAAATTGTTCCTTTGCAAAAAAATGTGGTGGCTGGTGGTTCTAGGGTCTTGTCTTTCTTTTGGAGGTCAGATAAGTATGCAGCAGGGTGTTTTTCTCTCTCTTTTTGTGCCGGTACTGGTGCTTAAACTTAGAGCCTGGGCACCGTCCCTGGGCTTTTATGCTCAAGGCTAATGCTCTACCATTTGGGCTACAGCTCCATTTGGGCCACAGCTCCAGTTCCAGTTGGTGTTTTTTGTTTTAAGTGGTTAATTGGAGGTAAGAGTCTCAGAGACTTTCCTGCTGGGGCTGGCTTTGGGCTATGATCCTCAGACTTCAGTCTCCTGAGTAGGTAGGATGATAGACATGAGTCCCCGGTTCCCTGCACAACTCTTTTATTATTATTGTTATTATTACTCTGCCTGTCTGTGGACCCTCTTCTGTGGAGTTAAAAAGACAAGCAGTTTTTTAGAGTCTAAGAGGTTGCTTTTTCTTTGAGAGTCAGGAGGAGTACTCCTGAGCCTTTAGGGCAGACAAAGCAAAGGACAGGGTTAAATTACTCACTTCTAGATAGAGAGAAAATGGCCTTCTAGCTACAACTTTGTGTGTGTGTGTGTATGTGTATGTGCGTGCGTATGTGTGTGTATGTGCGTGCGTGTGTGCGTGCACATGTGCACATGCATGCACGTGTCTGTCCTGGGGCTTGGGCTAACACCCGACCACTTGAGCCACAGATCCACTTTTTTTTTTTTTGTAGTTAATTTGTGATGAGTCTCATAGGATTTGCTGCCTCAGCTGGCTTTGAACCTTGATCCTCAGATCTCTTAAGTAGCTAGGATTACAGATGGGAGCAAATTACTTTAAGAGACACAGATGTTTCAACTCTGCTGGCTCTGAGGACGTGTATTTAGTGCTGCTTGAACTCAGGTTATTGCCCTTTGGCTCTGCTTTTTCTCTCATGGCTAGCATGCTGCTACCACTTGAGTCATGCCTCCAGTTTCTGGCTCCAAAGATTAGAGCTTTAAATGGTGAGGACTTTTGAAAGTTGGCAAGTGATTTGTTTTTGCACCAAATAAAGATGGGGAGTGGCTGTTCAAGATTCTTGAAGATTCACAGATAAGAAGAGTGAATTATTTTATAGAGATGGGGGGAAAGAATTTTAGTTGTCTTTAACTTCTCTATTTGGTAAAACATGTTTTACTTCTCTTTGTGGAAATACTCAGTGATGTATAATTTAAATATTTTGTTCAGTCTAGTTCCTTAGCTCTGCCAATAAATTTTTTTGTTTGTTTTTTTGTTTATCGGTCATGGGCCTGAACTCTGGGCTTGGGCGCTATCCCTCAACTCTTCAGCTCAAGGCTAGCACTCTACTACTTGAGCCACAGCACCACTTCCAGCTTTTGCTGCTTATGTGGTGCTGAGGAATCGAACCCAGAGCCTCATGCATGCAAGGCAAGCGCTCTACCACTGAGCCACCTTCCCAGCCCCTCCCTTTTTTTTTTGCCTCCCCTGTTGTGGGGCTTGGGGGCTGTCCCTGAACCTACTTACTAGTCTACTACTTTAAGCCATGGCACCACTTCTTGTTTTCTGGGGGTTAATTGGGAATCAGAGTCTCATGGACTTTTCTGCTTGGGCTGGCTTTGAACTATAGTCCTCAGATCTCAGCCTCCTGAGTAGCTTGAATTATAGGCATGAGCCATTGATGCCCAGCTCAATAAATTCTTTATCTATCGCACTGATTATTCTGTGTTTAGGGAGTAATTTTTAAAAGGGGCTTGTCATTCATTGGTAAAGTACTTGCTTAGCATTTGTGAGGCACTGGGTTCTGTCCCTAGTACCACAAAAAAAAAAAAAGCCTTTGTTATTATTGTGGATAGTACAGAATACAAATTCATTATGTTTTTACCACATGGTACATAATAGAGGTAGAAAAGAACTGGCCTAGCCATTTTATTTTGTTTTTAATAAATGGACATTTATTTTTAATGTTGGCAATGCATTTTTCCCTTCTGGAAATTTCCATCAGTTCAGGCGAGTCCATAAATGCCATCCATGTTGTTAATAGAGGTTTGTTCAGCTGTGATGAGAACTTCCTGTCCTTTTCTCCTTCTATTCTCTTTCCTATTTGTGGTTATTTTTATGTAAGTAGGTGATAGTTGCCAGATGAGGACTTCTTTCCCTGGGGAGAGAAAGGGGGTGGCCACTGCCTTGATTGCCTGTTGTGTGAGCAGTCTGTGTAAAGTGGGATATGAGCTGTGTGGATGTAAGATTTTCTGTTGAGTCCTTGATGTAGCAAGGGCGAAAGTAAAAGAAATAAGGATTATTAACTCATATTTTAATCTTCATAAAGTGAATCATTTTTATTAAAAAAGCATACCATACCTCAGAGGAAACTTAGAAACATTCTATTTAAAAACAAAATTATGGTTTTTATACTTCTCTCCTTTTTATTGAGAACATTTGCCTAAAAACAGAATCTTTGTTTCTTAAGCTTCTTTTTGATCTTTCAACCCATTTCCTTACTGAAATTTCTTTTGTATTGTTTTCACTACAGCTAACTAATAATGAGGTCTAGTGCTCTACCACTTGAACCACAGCTCCACTCTGGCTTGATGGTGGTTAATTAGAGAGAAAGAGTCTACAAAATTTTACTGCTCAGCCAGGCTTTGGACCTTGATCCTCAGATCTCAGCCTCCAGAGTAGCTAGGATTATAAGCTCAAGCCATCAGTGTCCAACTGATTGTTTTGTTTTGATTCCTTATCTAAAGCTGACAGCTTTAAAAGGAAAACTGTTTGGGGGGGATAGTAAAGCGAAAAAGTAGGTGTTGGGATTATTAGTTTAGTGAATATAGTAAGTGCCTGAGGCCCTAGGTTTAACCTTTTCACAAATGAAACCTTTGCATAAATGAAACCTTTGATTGATTTACAGGGAATGAATGAATGAATAGATGGATGGATTTTTTTTTTTTGGTCTGGTCGT